ACCGAGTTAATTGTCTAATCTCAAGCCTAATTTGTTATTCATTTCATTGTTTTTCTCTGTGTAATATGCCTAATCCTTAAGACAACAGTTCTGTACAGACACGCTGACAATGAATTATGAGCAGAGAAAATTTGTAACAGAAACAATTTGTAACACTATGATTTTTTTCTTCTCAAAGAGACCATCTCAATGAAATATCAAAATTCTATTCCTTTTTTTTCCTCGTCAACCTAATAGATTTAGCTGTGAATTGCATGCTTTATTCCATTTAGGCATAAAACGTCTTCTCTGAGAGAAAAGAAACTAAATTACTTTTCAATTCAAAAAAAAAATGTTTAATGCTAAATAAGCAAGGAATAATGCGTTGATTAATAGACTGTGTTTTTGTCGGGATGGTAGATGAAAGGGGTTGACAGTGCATAATTGTGGTGGGAGGAGGGGGGGGAACAGAAAGACAAAACAAGAGTGATAGTGGTTAGCCAAGCAGACGAGTACACATAAATTTTATCCGAAAAACACCGTTTCTTTCTTGATGATTTTGACTAATTTTGTTTAAACTTAGAATATTGAAGTGGTAGGATATCTGCAACAGTTATTCAGCGTCTCAGTTCACCAGTGATAAATATTATACATTAGTGAGCTGTGTAAAATTGGTCAGAAAACAAAAGTAAGATTCGATTCAAATCCTAGATCAACGTTCTTTATAAAAAAAAATAATTGACATTCTAAATATGGGATTATAGTTAATTTTAAAAGGGACAGGTGGAACCGACTGAAAAAAGATAGTTTAGAATAATGTATCGTAAGTTGACTTGATATTATAATGGATTTTCACATAAGACAGACAAAAACTAATACCTTGGCTTGGAATTGCGACAATCCCAGTTTAAAGCACTTATTCAAGAGACGAAAGGAAAGAGAATGGGTTTCTTTTGTTTTTGAATAACCTGTTCTAGTTGAGTTATTTAATATTTATTATGGGAAATAATTTCATGAAATCTCTTACTTTCTAATACAATAGGTAGGAGTACACGGTGAAGCTCATTCTAACACAATTAGTTTTTGTAGTTTTGACAGAAATAGCATTCAACAGGTTTTCAGCAGTTTAAGTTTTCGATAACTTATCTCCCATAATAAAAGTAAACTAATTCATTTTCAAATATAGTTTCTGCGGTACACTTACATTTCACAATATCTTTTTTTGCGATGACCTGACATATCGCTCAAAATAGTTTGTGATCATTTACAAGTGGTGGAATCACGAGAATTTTAATGAGTAATCACAATATTATTATTTATCATTCTTTCCAATAGTTTCTAGAGAAGCCTAGGGTTTCAGCTGCACGTCTCCATTGCGTTCAGTTCTCTGCAAACATTTTCACCTGGCTGCACGTCTGCCCACATGCTTTCATCTTCTCTTTGCATGACCTCCTCTATATCATCCTCACACTGACGACTAACTCTCCGCTTCCCGCCCGGATTCCACTCGAGAGCCTATCGTGTGATGTCACTTGATGGTTTTCTCACAATATTAATAAATGTGAAATTTGTCGACAGGCGGCATATCCCCAGCAGTTTCCAACCACTGTCTTTCAGCATCCCAAGGAGCCCAACCAGACAGTCTACACCTCCGTACGTGGCTCATACTATTTGTGAAAGATTTGTCAGTTGGATTTGTAAATTTCATTTTATACTTCATTCGCTTATTCTCAATTTTAAAATGCTGTTATATATTCCCTGCATGTTCTCATCTCAAATTCCTCCTTTCCACTGCATTTCTATCAAGTCGATTAGTCATATATACAGAAAGAGAAATCCTAATAAGCTTCAGATATTCAGCATATTTCAGTCATACTAAAATTTCATTCTTCTGTGAATACTAGACCGAATATTTGTTTGAACAAAATGTTTTTACTTTCTTCCGTCTATCAGTCAATATTTATTAAATAATTTTCAATCGAATTTTACTAGGTGTTTGGCAAACATTTGCATGGATAATGTAAATATACTGTGGTTTCAATAATTAAGACGGTTATTTGGCTGGTTGAGGAATAGATTTAATGAGAAAATCACATGATTTTCAATGGATTTATAAAACGAGGCAAATACAGATAGCATTCTCGGCAATGAGTTGTATACATTATCCGTTGATCTGAAAACCTACAACTCAGCGCAGACTATTTAATAGACTTATTTTGTATGTTGATGTGCAGTATGTCATACAAACGATTGTTTGACTAGAAATTCCAGCATGTAACAGCAGATTTCCAGTTAGAATATGCGAAGATTGAGCTGTATTCACCGTCCATCAATTTCTTATAGTTAGCTATACTAGATATCGCAATACTAATTACTTCATTCTAAATATTCACTCCTTCTAGAATAGTCCGAAGAATCCAATAATAAATATATAACGAGGAAAGTAGATTTCGGCGTCATAATCTCGATGACAGCAAAATCTTCTCTGGAACTAATCGACAAAATGTTTATTAAGCAATCG